TGCTCTGTGGTTCAATCTAAGGCAATTTTCTGGCAACTTTCCCCTTACTCTTTTTGAGCAAAATCTGTTAAGATTATAAGCAAAATTTATTTTGTATTTGTTTGGAATATACTTTTGTTTCTTCCGTACAAAAAGCCATGCATTTTCATAAGTTTCCATATTTTCTTTGTGAAAGTGATGTGTAGCCTTTGACATTATTTGTAAATTCTTGCTTTCTGAGATATATAATATTCTTTCCTCCATGTTTTGTCAAAAGGAAGTAAATGAGTCATGTAATGATTTCTTGAGAGAAATCCGTTTATCCCATATGCTGGCATTGCGCGAACTTTTTAAAAAAAATGGGTAGTTCCATGTACACAGCGCACAACGAGCTGATGAGACCAGCGTTTCCATATGATCACATTAATTTAATGCTACCGTATCTACTCCTGCCACATTCGCTCAACGTAATTTATGCGGCCGTAGGAGAGGTATCTGTGCTCTTAAAATCCGCAAACGGTCCACTGAACTTTTGGGCAGGCAGAGGCGCGGCATATGCGCCAGTATGGTACTTTGCAAGGTGTGGCCGACTTATTTTTAAAAAAAATTTTAAAAAATTCTTGTTTGGCTGGATCCACGGATGACGCACACATGTTTGTACAGAAGGACAGCATTGTCATTACGTGCATAGGAACCTGCACTTTATACAAATGTATAATTACATGAGGAAGTTATGTAAACAAACAGAATAAAGCTTGCTTTTTTTATACAACCCGACAAAACTGTCCTGAAATTGATTTTTTTTTTCTGCAATAGAGCCTCCAGCATGTTCCATTGTACTGTTTTGATTGATTAAGTTGATGAAAAATAATAATAATAATAATGGAGTCTTATATAGCGCACATTAGGTAAATACGAGGTAAATAAAGTTTATGAGAAATATGAGACCCATTATGTAGCACCTTATAATGGTTTACAAGGTGCTGCGGCGCATATTGCAGCCACTGCCAGAAACACCGGGGCAAACCCCTTCTCTTAGCGATAAGTGTTACTGGGTTCTTTAACGTGCATTACACAACACACAGGACCTATGGCTTTACGTCCCATCCGAAGGACGAAGCAATAATGGTAAAGTGCCTTACTCAAGAGCACAAGCACCATGTTCCCATGGTCAGGATTCGAACCCATGCACCACAGCACACGAGTCGAACACCGTAACCACTGGACCACAGTGCCCCACAAATGTGATTATCATGAAAAATGCAGGGAAATAATAAAAATCACCCAAATATTTTTCTTTTTATGTACAATGTACCATTACATCAAGCTTAATTATTTCTGACATGAAACTTGGTGAAGGGGGATAGGGGTTATTCTTCGACTTCTAAAGTTGGACTTTTAACTTCCATGGCAATGGTGCTACTTACTAATGGTCATCGTGCACACGAGTTGTATTGGTTAGGGTTGTGATAAATATACCAAATATTCAAATATTTGATAACCGATCGTCTGAATATCATCTATTTTTTTTTGTTCAAATAAATAATTACAAAAAATTAAAAACATTTGTTCAAATAAAAAATGTAACAGAATTTTAAATGTGGGATGTCTTAGGAAGATGCCAGCAACATCCATGATGTTCTTTTAATCGTATAAGTTGTGCGGTTTTACCGTTATGTCTAAATGTGATGCGATCAAGCTACATGAGTCGTTTGTTGACCCCACTGATCTCTATATAAAGACTGGATAGCGGATATCCATACACCAGTCACACAGTAAACTTTGCATATTGACCAATTCGCCCCGGTCTCACGAAGATGGCCTCGTATATTACGAACGTTCTACGCGTAAAAAGCGCGCGCGCTGTATCAAGAGTTGACGCGCATTTTGGTCACATTCACGTATTATGATGTTCTAAAAAGGACACATTTCCGCAGTGATTATTTTTTCCAAATCGCCGAAAAAGGAACTGCGGCATTAAAAAAAAGTAAACCACGACGTTAGAAAAATTGTAAACCGTGATCAGTGGTGGTGGTTAAAATATAAATCAAGTGAACTGCGATGTTACAAAAGAAATCATGATGCTATGAAGACGGCAACTTGTCCGTTGTAGATCACCAGCCGTCTCACTGGTCTCACCAATATGGCGTCAAATTCATTCATTGTGCGGCTCTTTATCCGCTATCCAGTCTTTATATAGAGATCAGTGGTTGACCCTGGTCAAAAAAAATTTATTACAGATTGCAAAAGAGCACAATCTCAGCATTACTGCTGTGAAAACCGCATGCTGATACCATCTTTAGTTCAAAAATTATGGAAGTCGGAACACCAAGAGATGTGATGAAGTGATGTGATGAAGTGGCCCTATTTTGGCCTGTATCTCCACTTAAAAATTCCAGACAAATGACTCATTTAGCTTGATGCTACAAATGCTACAATTTTGTTGAAATCCACTTTCAATGTTTTGAGAGCTTCCATTCCAGTATTGGCTCAAATTTCTTCTTTTCATTAAAAATGGTCAAATATCAACTATTCCGCTATCTCTTCGTTATCTCTTCTTAACCCCAGGTGCATGCAAATCCATTTTAAGTCTGGCACATGTTAAAATCATCAGCGCATTTCGAATATTGGATTACATGAACTTGATCAAGTTGGAATTTAAATAAATACTGAATTCAGCTTTAACAGTGCATAAACTAGTATTATCCTGGTGAACATGCAAATGACATAGGATTTATTCATATTTTGTGTCGCCATAATGAAATTTAAAATTCATTGAATATTGGGAAGAAAAAGAAATAATTGATTTCCAAGCTCGAAAAGAAACTGAGACTATGATCATTCAAGCGTGCATGAAAGTTAACGATTGTGACCATCTGTTGTGGAACTGTTTTATTGTGTCTGGTTTTACTGTTATTTATTGTTGTGTGTTGAGGCTTGCTCATGCCTAGAAGCATTTGTTAAAAGGCTGTACAAATTTATGTGAAAAAAATGCAAACCACTTAAAGACACAAATTTCTTAATAAAAAGGCACGAAATATATGTAGTACTTGTAAAATTCTGCTAATCTGCTAATGTTTTTAACCCTAACGTACCTGAATCCATCAAAATCCACACCCGTGTTTTGGAGGATTTCGGCGGATTAAGGATATCGGTACCTATAGCTCCATATGGAAAAAGTTGGGGGATTGTGATGGATTCACGACAGTAAGCCTAGTGGTACTGCAGGATTTAAATGAGAAAAAAATCTCAATCCGTTTACAAATGTACATATTTTCCACACCATTCAAACGTAGCTCGTAACCTGATTTTCCTTTATGTAATGAAAAAAACATACATACTGGTAGAACAAATAATTAACCTATTTAATTTACAAAACCTTGGAAACACTCGGTACTTGATTACATTCAAAGTTTTTACTTGATGACTGCCTGCTATTTACAATGTATTATGTCAATACTTTTGATTTATCATGCCAATCACTCTGGTCTGCAGACATAATGGCCAGGCGTCAACCTTTGTGAAACACCTAAACGTTTAAACAGTTCGTAAAATATTTGCTAAACGTTTACAAAATCAAACGCAAAGTCACATCCTTAGAACGATCTTTAATCCAAGTAGGCGTTTTGATAATAATTTGGAAGGTTACTTTTGGGATAAATGCATGATATCCTATGCCTTTTACATGTGAAAGTAATAAGTATGCAGAATGTACTATCGACGATTTTCCAAGTATTTGAATGGCATGTCATAGATACATCAATAAAGTCTTTTAATCTAAATGGTTTTCTTTATATACATGTTTATATTTCCATTCGCCATCATCATCGGTAGTCTGCCGTAGGCAGGTCCTTGTACATGAGCTACAGATGCGTAAATATTATGAATTCCTCCATGCCACTCGGTCTCGGCCCATTCTCTTCGTCTCCACGTACCTCCCTCTCTTGATCCCATCCAGCAATTCTTCCTCTTCCTCCCTAAGTTCCCTCAAGTCTTCCTTCCAGGACATCCTTCACTAGAATATTCCCTCTCAAGATGTGTCCAATCCCTTCTCCTGTCTTTGTTCAGTAACCTTTCGTAAACTTCTCTCTTCGATAACTCTTACTGAGAACTTCAACATTGATACTTCTCTTGAAGCAACTCAGCTGATCATCAGCATCCTTCTCCAATCCCAACATCTCGAACGCACTTCACAGGTCTATCCCCTCTTTTCTCAACGTCCATGTCTCCGACACTGCACAGTGCTCCAGATCAAGCATTTCACAATTCACAGTTCTATTAAAGCATATAGGATCGTTCGCAAACACTCAAAAAACAAAACTGCAAAATAATATTATGAAACAGCCCACTTGATTGTAAGTAAATTATACTAGTAGTTGAAACATCCTGTGAAATCGTTGAGCCTGGCATGCTGTCATTCTCAAGACAAGAGGAATTTTGTATCACTGTTAACAACGTTTGTATGGTGACCATTTTGCTGAGAACAAAACAGTTTTCTCAAATACTACATCCATTAAACGGCCTGCGAGCCAGCTGTTGACTTCACCTGGGTACCCTAGGTATCTGTATGTATTACTTTCCCACGATGGAGCTGTCACTCAGGAGACCTAACGCTATGGGTTCAATGCAGGACATATCCCGCGAGCACACTTTGACAGTTGAAAGCGAACAGCGTTTTTGCGTGTTTTCCTAGCACCAATGGACACAGAACATTGAACAGCTAGTGGAACGATATCTGCTATAAACTAAATAGCCCTTAAATCAGTCCATTCCATGAAATTATGACAAATGCAAATAATATCCATTAACTTTAAGACTGTCAAAAAGACTGGCTACTTCAGTTATTAGATAGAGGGGAGTGGTTACAGTAAAGTATCTTGCTGAGGAACAGAAGTAAGGTTACTCTGGTGTTACATGATGATTGAAAGACATGTATCCCGGTATACTTGCACTACCAGAACAAACGTTAGTACCGGTAACTTGTAATTACTAACCATAACTATTTCTTGATTTGCTTGCAGAATTAAAGTCTGCGGACAGTGCCTTCTGACAACCGGGCCTTCATCAGACACAAGGTCGTCATGACAACCACCTGGTATGCATTCCTCCTGGTGCTCCTGTCCCAGCTCATCGGCAACCTGCAGGCCGGGTGGCATACCGGTACTGCCCCGCCCGCCGGACAGTCCTGGCAGTACTGCGTTGTTGGCGCCGGCCCGGGCGGTCTTCAGATGGGCTTCTTCCTTGATCGGGCAGGGCGGGACTACGTGATCCTAGAGCGCGCCAACACCAGCGGGGTCTTCTTTGAAACCTACCCGCGACACCGGAAACTGATCAGCATCAATAAGAGACACACGGGCAAGACCAACAAGGAGTTCAACTTGAGACACGATTGGAACTCGTTGCTGAGTGACGACGAAAGCTTGCAGATGACGTAAGTTCAGTTTGGAATTGTTTCTCATTGGGTCTAATTCTTGAGCAAGTGAGGGCGCAGTATTGTTCATATCACTCATGTACTTTTCAAGTTATGGACTTTTAAACACAAGCAAAGTTTTATAATTTTGTCCACGGATAACAGAAAGTGATATTTAAGCAAAATGAAAACAATTCACACATAAATCAAAACGCATCAGAACACTCTCATAACCATGATAAGGCCAAAAAAAAAGTCTCCAGTTTCTGGTATGGAGCTTGTCCAAAAAGTGGTTTTTTTTTTACCTGACTTTTTTGCTTCAAATGTCGGCTGATGACTGCAAATGGTGCCCGACTAAACTTAGTGAAAATATATGGTAGTCCAGAGAGGCCACATAAAGCTTATTCTTGATCATAACCCCATCTAAAAACACGTTAAAATTGTGCAGCAGCAGGATTCCAGTCAAACCAGTGAGTTTGGCGGTTTTGAGACATCATCTTTCATTGAAAAAAAAACTTTTTCATTTTGCCGACACGCATGGCTACGGCGACGTGCGCGCATACCAGAAACCGGAGACTTTTTTGGGGGGCCTAACTTGCACTTATATCATAACCTTTATTTGAACACCTTCTTGCTTCCAATGTTAAAAAAACATACTTTATAATGTCAAGATATTATAGCCTCGCTCGCCTTCTACTTGCCTACCCGGAGACTTATGGGATTATTCTGATATCGTTTTCATGATACGACATGGTTTCATTTTACGGAAACATCACGTACCTTAAATGTGGTCAATGGACAAAGTTTTAAAGCTGTGATTGTGTTCAAAATTCCAGGACTAAAAGAAAGCTCATTAATTAGGCTTTCACATCCTAGATCTGGAGAGCGCTATGCAGAACTTCTTTGTAAAATAGGGGGCGCCATTTGGGCTTTCTTTGTTTTACTCACCCTGTAGACATGAAACCCATATTATTTGATGTAAGAATGGAACACTAGCTTTTATTCAGTTAAAGGTAATGGACATAATTCACCCAAAAAAAACCTGTTTACAATAAATCTGAAGCAGGTTATTAAAAAAGAATATCCTGTCGAAATTTTAGATCAGTAAAATATCATACTATTTGAGAAAACTCAAAGCAAAAAAACTGAGAAAGCAAGATTTCTGTTGAAATTTTCAAAGTGGTTTTGACTTCCATCTTCCAATGTTATGATCCCAGATTGTCATGTGAGAAGAATAATTTCATTCACGGATATTTGAAAAATGGCTTTTTTTCTCTCTTAAAAAAAACAAAACGTTTCAGACATTGTAAAGAAATGATGTTAATTCCTCTTTTCTTGAAAATGGCAGCACACTAAGGCCAAAAAAAAAAGTCTCCGGTTTCTGGTGTGCGCGCGCGTCGCCGTAGCCATGCGCGTCGGCAAAATGAAAAAGTTTTTTTTTTTCAATGAAAGATGATGTTTCAAAACCGCCAAACTCACTGGTTTGACTGGAATCCTGCTGCTGCAAAATTTTAACGTGTTTTTAGATTGGGTTATGGTCGAGAATAAGCTTTTCTGTGGCCTCTCTGGACTCCAAGTTTAGTCGGGCACCATTTGCAGTCATCAGCCGACATTTGAAGCAAAAAAATCAGGTAAAAAAAAAAAAAAAGCCGCGTCGCCGCACCACTTTTTGGGCAAGCTCCATACTAGAAACCGGAGACTTTTTTATTTTGGCCTAAACAACAATTTGACAGAATGCTTGATCCTGTTATTTACTTACAATCAAGTAGGATATTTTGCATTACTAATAGTTTGGCAGTTTCATTTTGAACGTTTGCAAATGGTGTCCATTACCTGATAAGGAGGATACTGAAATATCGTGCCAAGTTAAAAATTGAAACCAAAATGTCCATACAAACGAGAATTTATGTTGTTCTACTTTTTGAACATCCACGATATAGAAACTTTCGGAAATGCAAACAATCTCCTCAGCTCTGAGTAAAGTATGTCTTTGAATTTTCTCTTTTTTCTCTGTAGACATTATTCCAAGGACTTCTTCCCACACGCCGACACGTACGTTAAGTATCTCAAGGACTATGCCCAGAAACTCAAGCTCAACATCAAGTACAACACCAACGTGCAAAATATCAGCCGCTCGTCCAGAAATGGGCCCTTCACGTTTCTGGACCAACACGGCCACAGTTACAAATGCAGGTAAGAAATACTGTACAAGAAATACTTTGTGTACAGATATGGGCATGGTTAATATATGTGTAATAATATTTTTTTATAAATTGGGGGGAAAAACACTGTTTTTCATAAATTTGAAATAGTACATGTGTGCCAATATACATGTACCGGTCTCCTTTTCCCTTTTATTGGTTAAACCCTCTCACGTGACCGGCCCCACTCCTAATTATCTATGCAGGAGCATGCGCAATACCACCAAAGAGTCCGTATTTCATAAAAGCTAAATTCATGCTACACCGGTACCGGTACTTACCGGTATTATGCTAATATACTATTATGCAAGTGTACATAAAGTAAAACAGTCATAGGTGACAGGCCAACATTTCTTAGGATGGAAAGTAAACAACAACAACCAAAATGAGAGAGAGGCAATTCGACAGAATTGAATGTCTTTAAACCTTGACAATTTGTGTTAAATCTTTTTTTATAGCTTGTTATCTGTATTTTATTGAAATAATTGTTTATATCCAACAATGTTCAACAGTTCCTTATTACTTTTTACTGAAAAAAATTAATCAGTTCACCAAAAAGAAAAATCGATTTTTCTGAATACATCCAGCACCATGGTGTTTCGAGCCACTTTGTAGTATAGCAAAAACAAGTTGGATGAATAATTTCTTGTTTAAATCATTGTAAAAAGTAACTGATACGTTTTATCATAATTAAAATCCACTTTATGATTATAACTTTTATTATGCACACTGTCGAATTGTCCAAAATGTACATCTGATACCGTGCAACTGCCAAGAGACATGATTGAGGTTTTACGGTGGGCGGAATCAGGCAGTGTCGTGGTGCACTGTTAACCCTTTAATCTTTCTCCATTGAACAACCACACGTACTACCGCATATAATCCTGCTTTCAACCACGACGCAATTTCATTAACTAATTCATCAAAATAAGGGGAACAAATCTGGAAAAATCTGAAATTCTACCCCTTTTTCTTTATTGTTATTGATTTTGTTAATATATATTTCATGAGGACTTTTCAGCTGTGCATCTCGGACGCTCCATGCAATTTGTCACAATTGAGATCCGAGTTGCGCTTTTGAGTTTCCGTCAGAACACAAAACGGGGTCAAATATGCACAAAAGTGCCCCGTGCACTTGTAACGTCAGCGTGTTTTAGAAACGGGACTTTAGATTATGACATTTTTCGGGGGCACGAGGCCTGAAGGAAGTCGTGTTCAGCGGGAACGTGTAATGAAAAATCAATTTCCGGTCGGGTGGACAACATAGTGAGACAGCATGTAGCAAATGAAGCATCAAACGGCGACGGATTTAAGAAGCAGGCACTTTAATTTCTTGTTGAATTTTGTTCCACTGCTTTAACATCATCTCGTTGTCAGCGCATTCTGAAAAAGCATCTTGCTGTCCATACATGTGTATTTAATGTATGTGGGTCATCCCATACATTTGGGGTCCTTAAGTGTTGGGGGGTGGATCTAGCTTTCATGAAATGGGAGGGTTGATATGAAGGTGGAGGGGGGGGGGTGAGTGAAGGTGTGCCCAAGGCACGCCTTGGAGGGGCGTCCTGGAGAAAATTTTGAAATCTACGATGCTTTCTCCTGCATTTTCAGGGAATTTGAGAATAAAATTAAAATAGATTTTTTTTGGGTTGATGTCTCATTCAAAAGTGGATAATGTTTTTATGGCTAGGAAAATAGCAGTTGAGAAAAGAAATCTATTTTTCAGGACACTAAGAAATAGCACTGGGAGCGCAACCTTAATTTGTTTTATTCTTTAAACCCATCAGCACTATTATTGCACTATACAGGGTGAGTCCAACAAAAGGAAACCCAAATGATGCCCATTATTCTTTAAAGAACTTTTGCATGTAGCACTTTCCAGATCTAGGATATGAAAGCCCAATTTCTTTTAGTGAAAGAATCATTCAAATCGCTAAATGTACTTTTCCAGTAATGGAATTTTGAACACAAATACCGAAAACTATTATCCAAAAACACAGAACACTCTCATAACCATGATAACTGGCACTTATCATAACATTTATTTATAAACCTCCTGCTTCCAATGTTAAAATAACATGCTTTACAATGTCGAGAGTTTATAGTCTTGCCCTACCTTCTACCGGGTACTTGGCTACCCCGGAGACTTATGGGATTATTCTGATATCATTTTCAGGAGACGACAAGGTTTCAATTCTACTGAAATATCACGTTCCTTAAATGAGATCCGTGGACAAGGTTACAAAAACGGTGTTTGTGTTCAAAATTCCACAACTGGAAAAGTACTTGAGCAATTGGAATGATTCTTGCATGCCTTGCTCTATGCTTTCACTAATAGACTTTTTAATTGGGCTGTCATAGCCTAGATTAGGAAAATGCTACATGCAGAAATTCTTTAAAAAATAGGGAGCACCATTTGGGTTTCCCTTTCTTTTTACTCACCCTGTACATATAAAGAGCCTGAAAGTAAAAGGTCACACGGTGAGTGCGGCCCGCCTATGGGCATTTTACACTGGGCTGCCCTTTTGCTTGCTGAAAATTTCGGACAGAATGATTTCTAACCGTAATCACCCCAAGAAACATTCATGTTGGAATTTTATCTTGGTATTCCTCAAGAAAACATGATAAGAAATGACTTGGAGATGGGTAAAAATGAATTTTACTTACAAATTTTCAAATCCGGCATTTTCGTTCCTAGTTCTCCTTGTTCATTCACGTTTGTTTTCACATCGCGTACTTACATGTATGTATACATGTACGTGAGAATGAAAACGTATAATGACGCAAAGATTGACCTACCTATATTGTGTACAGCCGATGGGTTCTAGATTTAGTCTTGAAGTTGAATGCAGTCCTTATTAGTGATCAATTTTGATTTGTTTTTGAGTCCTTCAAGTTCTTGTCAATTTATCCTAAAATACATTTTAGTCTCCTATTTAAGTTTCAGTTTTCACCCAATGACCGCCACAAAATTATTTCATAAATTTTCATCTTTGTTGGAGTACACCGAGTTCCACTAGTCCATATGTATTTTAGATTTTCGGAAGTGAGAGGCCAATTTTTAGCACAATATTTCTCTTCCACGTCCTGCGATTTTTTAGTTTCCATAAATTGAGATGCTAGTAATAATTTTACAATTAAGGCCTTTTTCGAGGGTAATTTTCGAGGGTGATTGCACATTTTGGAATGTTTGCATGTTGATTTTCCTATTCCAGGGTTCCGGAAGTGTGCCACAAGGGGTGAACTTTCAAGCTCTAGGCCCTATTATGGTACATTAAAAAAAATTGGGGGAAAAAAACAAATAAATTTTGGCAATTCTCAACCACCCTTCACATCTGCTACTACCCTGACTACTGGCTGCTAACCTCATTGACAGTGTATAATTAACTCCAAACACATCTTGATCAAAAGCTTTTTATCTGCCAAATCTGAAGAAGAAGAAAGAAACTTGTGCATTTATTCAACAAAATTCAGACATCCAACCCCATGAAGCATGTTTAGTATAAGAGTGGCTTGGCTTTTAAATAATTACTTACAGATGGACAGCGACTGATATAAATCACAAATTTCTCTACCTCTAGTCGAACCTACCCTGCTTTTTGCTACATTCATGTATTCATTTGGCTTGTCTATGTGAGGAATTTACTGAATGTTTGTGCTTCCACTTTTTGTGTCGTTCTTTGGAAATTGCATTCTTTGTCCCAGAAATTGAATTCCATTGTGTGCACCTTTACTTCCTCTGGCAACAACAAAACAACAAGAAGAGCCATGGACATGCTTGATTTTGTTTATTCTGAGATGAATGTTCATGAAGTCAGCACAGCAACAGAGTACAGAATTGACCGTCTCTTTGCTGAATGTTATTATAAATATTCAAATGTATACCGATATTTGATTCCAGAGCTTCTACAAATAAAATACAATTATAACATTACAAAGGTTCAAAAGCTGTTGTGGATATAAAGTGTATAAAGCAACTCATGAAATGGTTTGAAATAGATCTTACACTCAACCAAAAAAGAAAGCCCCCCCCCCTTTCAATACTGCTTTGTCTAACTCAACAACTACTGAGCACCTCTCGCTCAAATAACAACTAATCAGTACAGATTTTCCTTAACATTCCAGCCATACTCTTTATTTGGCCCAAAACAGTGATAATATGTACAAATTTATGCAATTTATGACCAATGATATCAAAAACAGTTGCACTTTTGTTTACGTGGAAGTTGTGGTTCACACTCACCTTGCACGTATACAAAAGTGCAACTTTTTTCGGTACCATTTGTCATAAATTGCATAATTTTGTACACATTATCACTGTTTCGGGCCAAACAAAGAGTATGGCTGGATTGCTAGAGAATTTCTTTACTGATCAGTCGTAATTTGAGCAAGATGTGCCCAGTAGTTTTTGAGTTAGACAAAAAAGTATTAAGGGAGACTTTCTTTTTGGTTGAGTGTATTAAAAAAAATAAAATGAAGACGATACATGTAAAGGAGGACTTTCGGATTGAGGTTTACCTAAAAAAAAAATGACCATCCTGGCATCCTTCCAGTTTCAGCTTTGTTCCACTGTACTGAAAACTGGCAATTTACCATGTTTACATATGTACAACTTTAGGCTCATATCATGGTGGCAGGCCACATAATCTACTTATTACAAAACATGGTTCTAGGCCTATAATAGACCTGTACATGTTCTGGGGAGGTATATTTTTGGACGTATATCCGCAGTCGGTTAGATGACGTCCGATAATTACTTGTCAGGTTTCATCTTAGGTAACTGCTCCTTCTGGCTCATCATTATCATTCCTCCTTCAGGCGATCAGCTTTCCTCCCCTTGGACACTGTTCCGTCATTGCATCATTACCCTCTGGTCCCCCGGCGACGGTCTCGCATCTGTGCCAAGCCATCTCATTTCTTTCTCTTGACAAGTTGTCTCAATCACTGCCACAATTGTTGGTCGAGTCAGCAAAAGCCAATATCTTAACAGCGTACCAGGTGTCAAGTAGAATCTCCTTAATTGGGACTTGGATTTTTTGCCGGTTTAATTTTAGACATCCACTGGCCTGTGACTGGTATAGATGGTGTCTGTTTAAATGATCCGGGACTTTTTCTCTGAAATTGTTAGATCTGCAAAAATATAATACGGTAAGTGCATTCTACTTTCATGCAGATTTACAACAATGAAGATTTATCCTTTTAAAATGTTTATGAACCAATTGTGTTGGTTATTGATAGTTTTGGCTGTCATTGTTGTCATGGTGATGACAATGATGATGACAATGTAGTAGTTCAGAATTTTGTGGGTTAATTGTTTTGAGGGGCCTCATAGCCGAGCGGTTAGAGCCTGGAGCTACGGAGTGGAAGGTTGGCAGTTTGAATCCCATTCGGACAAAAAAGTGGAAAACTCTCTCAGACGACCCAACAGTAAAATGGGTACCTGATTCGTTCAGGGAAGGTAAGACGGCGAGAGGAGAGGACTGGGCCCCGCCACTCATATGCCGCGCCCAAGACACAGACGACCTCTAACATCCCACTGCCCCCACCGTCAGTAATGGCTATGGGACCTTTACCTTTACCTTACCTTGGGTTGCTGTTTTGTCAGTGTTTTGATCAAGATTTGATGGGGAGGGGGTGGGAGATTTGGAGGGTAAGAATGGTTAAGAAATGGTAAGGCTGAAAACAAATTTGTCTGGAGGTCACTTCAGTAAAACCGTGCTGCAAGAAAAGTATTGATTCGGAAGACGGAAAAACAATCTGTATATATTCTAAATGACTTCATTTCACCGAGCTACTGCCTGCGGCTTCCAGCCAATCGCACGCGATTTGAACTTTATCACGCCGTACAGAAATACCCCTTCTGAAAAACAAAATCCATTAATGCTGCCGTCGATTGAGGCACCGTTGATTAACTTTCTGGTTCAGTGAACAGCATCTTTAGCAATGCCTCCTCAATCTTCCAGGTATTTCATAGCTTTGCACAACATCCCCCGCTTTCTCTTGTTTTTCCCTTTTCCGACAGCGATCAAATATTCCATTAGTTTACGGCCTTGCGCTAATACAAAGAGGGTTTTTTTCCTTTAACTTATAAGGAGTCGAGGAGGTTCATGTAATAGCTTTACGGTTGGAGCTCAGAAAAATCCCGCTACAGTTCCAATACCTTGCGTGCCTGTCAGTGGCAGCTCACGCCGTTAAATTCCGCCGTGGAAATGAATTCAGGTGTATGATGTCTGTAGCTGTTTTCAATTGCCCCTCTAGAAAGCTGACGGAATGGTATTCTCCCCAAAATGGAAACGTAAATCCCCCGCGAGTTTGAGAGCTGACATTTCGGCTCCGAGCGGGGGAGACAGGTATGATGCGAAGTGACGTGTGAAGAAAACAGGGTTAAGTGTCCGGGACCGCAAGTCCCGGAAGGATGGATGAGGCTGTGCAGTGTTGTCGTGGCAACAGCCGGGGAAATTGAATCAAAGTGTGTATCTTGCAAGATATGTTTTTCGAATGAGACTTGTCCCACTGTGGTTTTTATGTTTTTCTGTGTATTTTACAAAGTACTTTTTTTACATTACCATCTCAAGCATATTGTGGTTGAAATATCTTCTCTGTTTATCTATTATTTATTATAATAGATACCGGTAAACAGTTTTTTTAAAATGTGAAATATCTTTTTAATGTGTACAGCGCCTAAGAGCATATTATTGATTTTCGGGCGCTATATAAATGTTACTTATTATTATTTTGATTATATAGCTTGGAATTTTGATTTTTTTTTTTTTTTTTTTACTTCCCAGTTACATGTCTGAAGAATCACAAGGTAGCATTTTCATTGATAAAATGTACACTTGAGAAAGTGACATGTACTTTGGAATAAAAGTAAACTTTCGAAATTTCATTAACACTTTAAAAATCAAAATAATAAACCTCCATGAAACAGAAAAAAAAAAAACTTAAGGTACCATGTAATCTTGTTCGCTATTCTAGTTAAAGCTACAGTCCATCATTTGCAGCTATCCAAAAAGTAACTGACGTAATTATTGTTGAATCACATACTTGGTTGAACGATAGTTAGGGGATTCAACTCCCTGTGAAATTATTCTTTCTGGCATCCTGTTATTTTGAAGAAATCCACGAAAGAAGGCCTTTCCAACGGTGCGTCTTAAGACGCACCGTTGGAAATTTCCGTTAGTAATTCGTTTTTTTATCCGGCGAAGCGCACGCAAGTGTTGACACGAAGCACACACGCGTGCGCCCTCTTTAATTCGTCGGATCAGTGCGCGACATCGTGTAGCTGCAATCAGCTAAGTGAGAACGTTTCTTGGACACTGAATTCAGGCCCATTTCAAAACATGATTCCACAACTTTTGATTCGAATTTCGAGATCCTAGAATGTTGTTTTTCTCAAAATATACAGCTGAAGCCGAGCTGAAACTTCGTGAGGTAAGTTCTTCAGTACCCTTATTTAGATTTTGAGCATGTTTGTTGGGTCAAACAAACAAAATGCACAAATTACAAATGATGGACTTTACCTTGAAGTCTGATAACTTATCATATGTATATTTTTGTCTCCATTTTTTTGTCTCTCTCTAGAGTCATGATTCTAAGCAGTGGCGTGTCCTTACCCAACGATGCCCACTTTGAAGGCATCCAGCACACAGAGGGCTACCGTACTGTCTCTTTAGATCCTGAGGACTTTGAAGGGAAGAGCGTTCTCATCCTCGGGAGGGGCAACTCGGCGTTTGAGACGGCCGACCACATCCTGGGCTCGACCAATGTCATTCACATGGTTGCTAAGTCCCGTCTGCGAATGGCCTGGGAGACGCATTATGTTGGTGATTTGAGGTAGGTTTTTTGGGGGGTGGGTGCATCTGTTTATTAATTTAAATATCTGGACTAGTGCTTGTGCCTTGCTGAGACAATAATGGAAAGAGATATATTTCAGTAATTATACATGTACATGTATTAAGGCCATTTCACACTGCACGCAAAAGCAACAACAAAGTAAAAGTCATGACGTCAACAATTGAAATTTCATTGTGACTTTGCCATTACCCTAACCAATTTGTTTCGCAGTTAACTTCGCGTGAAGCATGAACCGGCTTTGATACTTCTGATGTCTTATCATGACATAAACTAATCATGGTTACTTAATTACTGATTGATCAGGCCAGTTTCTTGTTTTGTTCAGTATGTTTTTGGCTTTTATGCAAGGTTGTGGAAAAGCCTTTATTTTTGTTCTGATTTTTTTCTTTCTTTTTCCTCTTCTTCTTGTTCTATCCCAAATCCCATAGAGTTTCAAACATTAATCTGTGATGTCTTAACAATTTTAAATGTTATTGATAGTTAATTTATTTCAACAGTTTGTGATTTATCTTCTTTATCAACACCTCTTCATAACATGTTGAAGACAGTTTTTTCAGACATCTCAAGCTTTACAATAAATACATGTTTTTATACTATCCTAAGTACCAATTTGATAACATCTAACAAATGTTATAAAATATCACGTTAGTGAAATACTTTTTCCTAAATAAAACCTGTTTAGAGTATTTGGTAATAACATTTGGATGACATTGCTTTAATATACAACGCCAAATTTGAGGCATTTAAATTATTTTTAAATGAACCACACTAACTAAGTGAATGATAGCAATTGAAAGTTGAACAAAGAAATTGACTGGAGCTGGGCTTGAATGTGTGACCTCCGGATAACGGTCTCGGTGCTCTTACCAACTGAGCTATTCCAGCCCTATGTTGGCAGTTCCCCAATTAGTCAATATCTTTGTTCAAGGGGCGCTAGTCATAAACCATAAACCAGTATGCCAAATAGCCACTTGAGGATGACGCCCAAAGTCACGATACAGACCTGGGAAATAGCAAACAGGGGTCACTCGGAGAGGATAAGGCTTTGTATTACTAATTTTCAAATGAACCACACATGGAAATTGACTAGGTGAATTGCAACAATAATTAGTGGCAGACCTGTAATAAAACTTTGTTCAAAACAATAAACGTGGGTATGTTAATTGCACTTGAGGTGTGAAAATATTTTCTGAAGTGTCACGCCTTTATACCGTTTACAATTATATTTTTGGCTACCAGCAAAAATGTACATTAAATGCACTTTGTGTACGAAATTATTATTTACTTGACTGCAAAACTCAAGTACTAATACTATAAAATACAATGTAAATGTTTCTATAATACCAGCATTATGTCTTTGCTGGGAAGTAAGTACACGTATATAATAGTGGATATTTATAAAGCACACGTATGCACCAGGACTGGTGCTCAAGGCGCCACATCATTATTACCCCTGCTCATTAGGCACATGAAACATTCCAAATACCATCTCAGCTCCCTGGGGAGTATACAGCTCGATGCAGCCTAATGCAAGGAAGCTAATTCGATCACAATAACCATCTCTGCCCTCACAGGTACCCATTTACTCCTGGGTGGAGAGAAGCAATGAGTGACAAAGTGCCTTGCCCAAGGGCACACGCACCATGACCCCGGCTGGACTCGAACCCACAACCTGTAGCTTTACCCACAGACCACGAATCAGTGCCCTTAACCACGAGGCCACAGTACTCCTTAAAAAGTATATACATGTATTGCATTTAAACTTGTAAACTTTTGTAAACATACAAAACATGATAACGTTTTGATAACATTATTTAGACAGACAGGTATCACGGTGATTATGTTTGTCAAACATCAAATGCACTATCAAACTTACACTTTTTTATGAGCCATATGAACCACACAGGGAAACTGATTAGGAGAATTATAGCAATTGAAATGTTATCTATAATAACACGCAAGTGCCTGTTCGGCTGTTTGGATGTTTGTCCGGGCTTATTCTCGGAAGTGTGCAGGTTGCACGGTGCTCAAACTCGGTGGGTGGGTGAGACTTTGTCTAGCTTAGATTTTTTCAACGTTTGTTAAGCGATTGCGACCCCGGGGGGCCCCTCCCCAGGGGTCCCCTCCCCAGGGGTCCTCTCCTTTACGTACGTATACATACGTACAGTTTGTGTACGTGTATACATTCACGCACGTACATGAACGCATACATGTACACACGCTGTGATTGCATCTGAAAGGGGAACTCCCAAGCTACACACCAATATGACTATAGAGGTCGCTGTTCATATGGGTCTGTATGACAAAAACAGCGGGGCGGTTTCGGGTGCAAAATGATCGCAGTAGTGGGACTTCTAATGGTAATTAATCGCTACATCCAGCAACTCTACGCTTCTACAAACTGCCAAAGCCGGGTAACCGCCTAGTTTTGTAATAATGGTGGTAGACCTGTTGTCACCTGTAATAAAACTTTGTTCAAAACAATAAATGTGGGTATGCTATTTGCACTTGAAAATGAAATTCTTTTCTGAAGTGTCAAGCTGTTTATACCATGGAAAATTATATATTTTTGCTACCAGCAGAAATTTAAATTACCAAATGCACCTTGTACAGGAAATTATTTACTTGACTGTACATCAACAAAAAAGCCTAAACTCATAAAATAAAATCATAATGCGGACAAGCCATATGTTCTGTTCTCAGACATAGACCTCTAGTTTTTTTGTTAAGATTTTTTTTAATTTTGCTTCGTGCATATGTCATAATGCATCTTTGAGTTCTATTTTATTGAGTCTCAAATTATTTGTTTGGCTCATTCCATACATTTTGAGTCCCTTTTTGTATAGTGTCCCTAATACATCTGATATAACATCAGGGACGGGTCTCGCTTTCAGGAAAGAGGGGTGGAGGGGGTTTGATATGAGGGGGGTGGGGGGGGGGTTGAAGGCACGCCTGAGCCCTAGGGGGTCTGGTTTGGATTTGCAATGCTTTATCCTGTATTCTAAGGCAATTTGAAAATAAATTTAGGAACTTTAGTATACATGTACCATTTATTATTTTTGGCCCATTTTAATACTAGCATGACATGTCAGTGGCTGAACTGGGGGGGGGGGGGGGGCAACTAGATCCAGACAGGTTAGTGCCGGGGGAGGGGGCCTGTGCCCTGGGGGGGGGGGCACCAAAAAATGTTCACACTTCTGGACCCAAACTTCTGGAATGACCCATCTGTCAGTTTAAAAATGCTTATCCATCTTAGTATTCGTCTGTTTCTTTTTCATTTTCCAACATTTTCTCTTTCTCCCATTGCTTCGTTCTTTTCCATAAGTTATTCTTGGCAGTTCATTCAATCAAATATCGCATTGCAGGTAATCTCATAAACCTTATACCATATTGGTAAAAACTATGCAAAATAGACAAAAAGGTACCGGTAGCAGGGACATAATGTGCACATGTATTTGTACATATCAGCAAATGTGAGGTTAACCCATTAGCTATTCATTGCATTTATTCCCAAATGAATTCACTAATTCATGCAGTGCTGCGACAGTTTTGGGTGTTAAAAAGGGATCATGACATGACTGTTACAGTGGCACATATTTTGTGCAGTTTTTCATTCTCCTGAAAGTATTAGTATTAATATAAGGGAATAAATGTGTGTGCTTTGCCGGTTTTAAACAAGTACATTTAAAATCGGCTCGGGGACTGGACGCTGCTAATTGTCTGAGACAAGGGCAAGGGACATTATTAGCGACCAGGCCCCTGAGCTGGTCTTAAAAGTACTTAAAAGGCATTTCCCCCCCCCCCCCCCAGTTTTTTCTTTGCCCCCCAGTTAAACATAATATTAATTATGTTTATTTCCTTCGCTGTTAAGATTCATAAAATGTGGACACATTTTAGGCCAAAGAAAGCATTATCAGCATTGGTACTTTGTGGAAAAAACACGCCACAAATGCATTTATACAGCCGTAGATAGTGTGCAGCCAATGTCTTTGTACATTTGTTATACACCATTTTCTGTGGTTTGATACATTATCTACAGCTGTGTAAATGCATTTTGGCATGTTTTGTCCACAAAGTACCAATGTTTATAATGCTTTCATTGGCCCAAAATGTGTCCACATTTTATGAATCTTAACAGCGAAGGAAATAAACATAATTAATCTATTTATTGATAAAGTGTTGGGAGAAAACTGGGGGGGGGGGCAAAGAAAAAATTCTGGGGGGGAAATGCCCCCCATGGGACACCCCCCCCCCTTTTTTTTTTCTTTCACTTTTTCTTCTGGTTTTTTGGTTTGATCTCTCCTGGTTTTTTGGTTTGGTCATTGTTTGCATCTCTTATTGTTGAATATTTTTTTTACTTCATTTCAAAATCTCAGAGCGGTCAACAATGGCCTCCTGGACACGTACCAGCTGAAGTCGCTAGATGGCATCCTAGAGGGCAACATTGAGGACATGGCCATCCTGAAGCGCCCCGACGGCCGTCTGATCCTGGTGGACCGGTACGAGCTTGAGGAGGTCTTACAAGAGAACGTGACGGACTCAATGATCAACAGTCACGTAACCCGCAACATGCCCGACAACTTTGCGCTAAGGGAGCCCTATGACAAGGTCATACGCTGCATGGGCTTCAAGTTCGACAACGACATTTTTAACAAGTGAGTTCCCCTCAACCACATAAGATTAAATACCAGACTCTACGTTTTTAACGAAGGTGTTCTTGTACACTATTGTAACATAGTTTGAGGGTGGATAATCAATATTATAACACCTCAACCACATATTCTGTATCTTGATTGGCCAAGAGCGAGGCACATGGCATTCACTGTTTTGGTTATCTTGCTGTCAGTGGCGGCGCCAGACTCTAACATTTGGGGGGCTCCAATAGGGGAGCAAGGAAATATCAAAATAAAATCTTGTGTATGCACACGCGTGCCCGTTGTCAATGGTCCAGAAATAAGCCACTAGAGCAACTTCGAAGTGTAGTCGTTTTTATGAATGAGAAATGTATCAAACCGCAGAATGGTGTATAACAAATGTACAAAGACGTTGGCTGCACACCATGTACTGCTGTATAAAAGCATTTGTGGCATGTTTTGTCTACAACGTACCAATGGTTATAATGATTTCATTGGCCCAAAATGTGTCTCACATTTTATGAATTGTAACCGCGAAGAAAATAAACATATTTAATCTATTTGTTGATAAAGTGTTGGGAGACAACTGGGGGGAGGGGCAAACGTGGGGGGCAAAGAACAAACTTGGGGGGCACCATGCCCCCCCCCCCCCACCCCCATAGCGCCGCCACTGCTTGCTGTGCACGGCCAAAAGTACTATACCCATGGCAACCATAGTACCGGTACCAAAGTACGCATAACAGCAAGATTTGCAAATGCATACAGGTGTGTGCCTTGCACGTATTGTACCCAATTGCTAGCATTACAGAGCTGGGTTCAAGCCTTTTGTGAAGGGGTAGTTTGGACAAGTACAAGCAAATTTTCAACTTGTTTTGTATGCAAATAGAAGTACATGTACATTTTGATTGTATTTAGATTAAATTAATCAGTTATACGTTTAAAATCAAGCAGAGTATGTGGGAGAGGTGTTATAAAAAAAAACACATTGACTGCTTTATCTCGTGGTGTAGTAAAACAGACTATTCCCAAGTAAAGTTTGAGTGGATATAGTGAAAATTGAATAGTGTTTGTAAAATTGAAGGAATACGGGCCCTTAAATTTAAGAAAGAAGGCACAATATTTTGGTTCAACTATGGTTTCACAAATGACAGACTAGTCATTTTTGGCATCAAATCCCCATGTCTTCAATCACTTGTAAACGGTGGGGTAACTCTGTGCCAGGGGATGACTAAAATCACACAATTTTCCGGCCGTGGAAATTAGAAAGGGGGGGGGGGCTTGCTGGATACCACATGACTCTAGGGGGCGCTGTTTGTGATACAGATGTACATGTTTTGTATTAAGCCCCTAACCTTGCATCAAAACGACACATTTAAAAAAATTTGTACTTTCCCTTTTTCAGCACTGTTCAATACATTTTGCTTGTTAAGAAGTTTGCAAATTACGCCTTTTTGTGGTTTCTCAACTCGAAAAAGTGGGGGGGATGATCCAAACCAGCAAGTTGCACAGGGAAGTAACTTTAACTTAACACCAGTGGATATGCACTTTCATTTGTTTTTTCCCAGTGATTCAAAACCAGAGATGGGACAGAGGAAACTCAGCAAGTACCCCCAGATGCTAGCCAGCTACGAGTCCACGGATGTGCCGGACCTGTTCTTTGCCGGGGCAATATCCCACGCTGTGGATTACCGCAAGTCAGCTGGGGGGTTCATCCATGGATTCAGATACACCGGTAGGTTGGTCAGGGTCACGGTTCATTGCTGCACAGTCGTGACCTGTCACTTAGTCTTTGGTCGAGACCCATGGATTCAGACGTGACGAGTCGTTTTTTAAACATGCAATATTCAGGAAACGGCAAAGTGGCTTCTGTAGTGATTTTTCAGTTCCTGCAAAGTGAAGACAAAACACATGTTGTCAGGTCTTTGTATATGACATGGGTAATAAATCCGAAATAAAATAAAACAATATTTAGACTTTAAATCAAAAGTAAACGTTTAGTAGATAATTTAGTAATGTAACTGAGGCACTAGTTACAAACAAGTTGTAATGTGAACATGCATCAAAATTTGAGGTTCCCTCCAAAGCTATTCTTGAGGCCGTCATCATTGCATTTGCCCTGAGTAAATCAAACAAAGTAATGAAAATGTAATTCTAACGAAGCAAGGAACAAACTTATTAAGTTAGTTGAATTAGGCATTAAAAGGAAAGTGGGAATAAAGTATAATCTGAAACTACAAAATGTATTGGTGTCGGACTTAAGACTTTAAAATTGACACATCAGTGAGATTAGTCTTCAGGGCATAATAACTATCTCTATAAGATATGTAATCACTCTTGGAGGATGACTGCATTAAGGAGTGCATTAGAATTATAAAATCATAGATGTAACAGGGACAGGAAAAAAGTGAACCCAAAGTTTAATTTTATAGAATGACCCAAGTTGCAATTTTGCAGTACAATGGAACAAGCCAAAATTCAAAGGAGTAGTCACTTACTTTTGTTTTTATGTGAACCTCAATCCTTAAAGGGAATATACATCATTTGCTTTTGCTGTAATTTTCAGAAATGGATGGAATTGGGGGGTTGGAAATATATATATGTAGTCTGGTTCCCTGACTCCATATAAGAAGAAACAGAGCAGTTTACATACATTGGGGAATTGTAAGGTCAGGGAACCAGTCTAGCTGGCTCGTACCCGTTCATAGGTTTGTAATCGATTGCAAACAAGTGCGATGGTCAATTGGGGCCAGTATTTGAAAAAAAGCCAGTTTTTTCCAACGCTGATCGGCCGATCAGCGTTGGAAATTGATACAAAAATACCAGTTTTCTTGAAAATGACAGTATACCAGGTGCCATGATTTTACAGGATGCTTTACACTGTCATTCACTAACAGTCCAGCAAGGTATTTCAAAATGATTTGGTAGTTTTATTTTTTGATGTTTGCAAATGTTGTATTTTCCCTTTAAAAGGCATATCATTTGCATTTATCCCAAAAGTAATCTATCAAATTATTATCAAAAAGCTTACTTGGAGTTGGTTTGTCTGGCTTGCAGTCATTTAGAAGAAATCAAGAAATGTAGGTGATTTCTAACGATCAGTCAGTTGACTTATTTTTGGAAATAAAGAGTGCTATAGACAAAATTATATTTCGTAATCAAAAGGTTGTGGTGAGTTTGCACAGTTTTGTTGAAAATTGTAATATCCGGTGAGCTGAAACTTCAACAGGTTAGGTTTTGAACATTCTTCTTGATGTTGAGTGGTGTTATTATTGGAAACGAACAAAGTGCATGAATAACAAATGAGTCCATATGCCTTTAAAGGTATAGTCCATCATTTGTAATTTGTGCATTTTTTTCGTTTGAAGCAACAAAAGTGCTCAAAATCTGAAGCAGGGTGCTGAACAACTAACATGATGAAGTTTCAGCTCAGCTTCAGCTGTACATTTCGAGGAAAACAACATTCTAGGATCTCGATTTCAAATCAAAAGTTGCTGAATCATGTTTTGAATTGGGCCTGAATTCAGCGTCCGAGACACGTTCTCACTTGCCAATTGCAGCTACGCGATGTCGCACACAAATCCGACGAATTATAGCAACTGCGCGCGCGTGTGCATCGTGCCAACGCTTGCGCAGGCTTCGCCGAATAAAAAAAACGAACTACTTACAGAAATTTCCAACGGTGCTTCTTAAGACGCAACATTGGAAAGGCCTTCTTTCGTTGATTTCTTGAAAAAGACAGCTTGCTAGAAAGAATAATTTCACAGGGAGTTTAGTCCCCTTACTATCTTTCAACCAAGTATGTTTTTCAACAATAATTACGCCAGTTACTTTCTGGATAGCTGCAAATGATGGACTCGGGCTTTAAGACCTAATTTTGTGGAATTCTCAGGATTTCACCAGCTTTTTCAAAAGTGGAGAGAACAGTACATGTACATGTAGAGGCACCATCCATATGTGTGTACTTTTCTCCTGCGAAGTGGCAGACATATATATATATGTACATATATGTACATCCCTGATTGATAATCAATTCTTTGATTTCATTTTCTTTCCCTTTTTTTTTTAGCTCGTGCCTTATTCCGAATTCTCGAAGTTCGTTACCAGTCCGTGCCCTGGCCCTCGGTCCGATTACCCATCACAGAACTCGTCAACCACATCATCAAGAGAATCAACGAAGCCTCAGGAACCTATCAGATGTTTAGCGTCCTCGCAGATGTCATTATCTTACATGGGTGAGACTAAACAGGATACAAATAAATTGAATCAAACCAAATTTGAACAGATCCCACAAGAAGGTACAGAACTGAAAACAGCTCATGCATAGTGCCATTCAATGATCGGATGTACTCAAACAAATCACACACTCAGTTACCAGATTTGCATAAATTTCAGATACATAAATGGGGAACAACATATAAGTTTCGGTGTTACACACTACACCTTGCTTAATACTTTTTTCCATTCAGATGAGCCGTTTCATTTTTAACACCCAACACTTCAGTTGCAATCTTCAGAGATCCTGCAAGCTTACATGAAATGTCAATTTCATGATTTCATGAAACCTTATTTGTGATGTGTTCTGTCAAAAGCAGACTCCTCTGGGTAGCTGGCAGGTTGATTTTTTCCCCAGCTATTTAAAAGAAAAGAGATTGTCCCCTTAATGATTACATTAACTTTTGAAAAAAAGTTGCCTTGACAACTTAATGGCCATTTGAAGTTTGTGATTTTACAAAAGTGGAAATGGAGAAATTGCCCGTTAGAGTTTTTCCTTTGCATTTCTTGAACTTTACACCTTAAAAATCGTACCGAAATTTCACCTTTAGAAGTGAAATTATGGTCTGAAACTTCTACAGTATATCAAAAGACATTGAGTATCTCACATTGAGAAAAAAAAATGAAAATATAATTAAAGTGACCCTTACATCATGTTTGGGTTGTATCTCCGATTCAAACTCTGCAAAGAAGCGTCTGGTTTGGACAGTGTACGTCACATTTCATTCAGGGCCCAATTACATAGCACTGCTTAACAGTAAGCAGAAAAGTTGTGCTTACTATAGCAGAAAATCATGCTGCTGCTTAAGCACTATCTCATGTCGTCAACATGCTAACGGTTGTGCGCGCATGGAGATTTCTATAGTTACGTCACTTATTTAAGCAAAGTTTTTTTCTGGGGTTAAGCGTGCTTTTGCTGTGCTTACTGCTTAACGGTCCCTATGAAATAGATGGAGGCTCGGTAAGCACAAAGTCGGCTGTTAAGCAGCGCTATGAATTTGAGCCCAGTTTTCACAAGTTGTTTAGTTGCTTTTATTTTTTGATGTTTATTTGTATTTTGTTGACTGCAGTGATGGTATGGAGTGTGAGTACATTGAGGAGTTTCCAGTCAAGTTACTGCCTGAGTTGTCCTCCATTACTGGCAGGAATGCCAGCCGAGTCATTGTGGTCTCCATGGAGTACGGCAAAGATTTCTCAGGTAGGAGACCGGGATTCGAACCCGGTACCTCTGAATTGCAGTTTCAGTAGTGACATGTCGGAAAAATAATGCCTACAGGACATTGCCCAACAAATGTCAGTATTTTGGAGCTGCCTCCTCAAGTATATTTTCCTCATTGTCATTGCTGTGTTATTTTTTACTGTGCAAAGCCAATTAATACTCGGGTAGGAAACAGGGATGCGAACCAAGTACCTCTGAATTGCAGTCTCAGTAGTGACATGTCGGAAAAGTAATGTTTACCTGCCCAACAAGTCTCAGTACTTTGGAGCTGCCCCCTTCATGTACACTTTTCCCATTGTCATTGCTGTGTTATTTTTTATTGTGCAAAGCCAATTTATACTACATTTTGTATTATCTTGTGGAGGTTTTGACAGTAATTTTACAAAAAAAATTGATGCTCTAGACCACGACAAGGCAAGCATCCCACGTGCTACCAATAAACGGAAAACCGAAATTCAAATTTAAAACAAAAATCACTAGGTTGGGTACCATGTTGCCTGTATTGGAAAATCACTTTTGCGTTTTTATACTAATGTCTTGCGGATGTTTTGTCAGCAAATTAACAAAAACAATTGATGCTCTAGACCACGACAAGCCGAGCACCCCATGTGCTACCAATAAACGGAAAACACAAAATTCAAACTTAAAACAGAAACCAACAGATGGGTACCATGTTGCCTGTATTGGCAAATCACTCTGGCAACATCAAAGCAGTTTTTTGTTCTTTTCAATTACATTTAGATAAATCCATTTCCTTGTCAATGATTGGCAATACCCAATATTGAATTTACTTCTTCCTGATGTAGAACTTCCTTTCTTCCTTCCTTCCTTACAAGTGCTGCCTTCATATGGTTGAAGATAAACGCACTGCCAGAAACGCCGGGCAAACCCCTTCTCTTAGCGATAAGTGTTACTGGGTTCTTTTACGTGCATTACACACGGGACCTACGGCTTTACTTCCCGAAGCAATTATGGTTAAGTGTCTTGCTTAAGGACACAAGTGTCGAGACCGGGACTCGAACCCGCACTCTGCTGATCAGAAACACCAGCAGAGCTTGAGTCTGGTGCTCTTAACCGCTCAGCCATGACACTCCACACCGAAGTGAACAAGACAGTGAAGTCTCTTAGTGTAGTCTTCCGCTTCCCAAACCTCTTCTCTTCTGATTTTGTCTCCAGGACCTGGCAAGGACATTTTTGGGCCGATGCGAGCCACCGCCCTGCCAGTGTTAGCCCATCTCTCCAACTTCCTTCACCCAGTGCTCTATTACTACAGTGCCTTACCTACAGGTAAATCTACCATTTGCATTTATCCTAAAAGTAACCTACCAAATTATCAGTGCTCTATTACTACAGTGCCTTACCTACAGGTAAAACTACCATTTGCATTTATCCTAAAAGTAACCTACCGAATTATCAGTGCTCTATTACTACAGTGCCTTACCTACAGGTAAATCTACCATTTGCATTTATCCCAACAGTAACCTACCGAATTATTATCAAGAAGCTTACTTGGATTAGAGATCGTACTAGCACCCCGTTAAACTATTCTGTCAGGCTTGTTGCTATTTAGAAAAAAAATCAAGAAATGTAGGCAATTCCAACGATCAGTTTACTAAATTTTAGAATCAAGAATGCTATTGACGAACTTGTGTTTCGTGATCAAAAGGTTGTGCATGGTTTTTCACGGGTTTTTTTTCAAAAATTGTAATATCTACTGGTTTTTGAGTGGTGTTATTGTTGGAAACGAACAAAATGCATGAACAGCAAATGATCTTATAAGTATGCCTTTAACTAGTGTACATGCAATGGAAAGGTTATCGCAGCTAAGCTGTATGGACTTCATGTTTATGGTTTTCATGCAGAACATAATCTGACAGATCTCATTGCCTTTAATACAAGCCATTATTAAAAGAAACAATCACAAATTTCCCTTTTCTCATCTCTCTCTTTCTCTCTCACTCTCGTCAGAAAGAGATATGTCCGCCCTAGACCCCAAGGAAGTCCTTCCATCCCCAGATCGCCTTCATCACATCGTGGAAGACTTCTTGACGGACTGGACCGCACCAGTCAGGTCTGTAGTAAAGCCAAGTCAATAATGGACCCTTCTCGCCCTGTCAATCCAACAGTGCTTATTGACCAATCAGATACGACTAACGGTCAGGTGACCACAATGCCTCTGTGCAATGGTACCTAGGTTAGAACCCTGACAGGGAAGCATGGTGTTTGTGTTCTTGGGCAAGACACTCTACTGTAGTTGCCTGTATAATTGGGTACCTGTGAGGGTGGAGACCACATTGTGCTGATTTGCTTGAGAAAACTGGTCTTATGGGCCTTATGCAGGAGTCGGCCAATTGAATTGAAAGTAGGTAAAATCTTAATTTTTGGAACTTGCGAAGAGAGGATTGAAAGCAAGTTAATTACTGATTAATGCCAGTCGGCTTCAATGAATAATTTCACATTTGTAACTAAACATTCCCTAATGTTTAAGTCAAGTAAAAAGTAAAGTCTTTCGCGAGCCAATGTGGCTCATCAGGCTGGCGTTTATCTCCGGTTTCAGTAGCATGAAACGACTGAGAATATTTCTACTCCCCCTGGATGGGATGCTAGTCCATCGCAGGTTACTCCCCAGCTAATGCCGGTACGCATTTATGCTCCTGGGTGGAGAGGGGCAAGTGGGGGTGAAGTGGTGTGCCCAAGGACACAATATATGACCAGCAGCTGGATTCGAACCCTGGACCCTCTGATCATGAGTCACGAACCCTAACCACTAGGCCACACACTCCCCCCCCTAATGTTTAAAGCCAGATTAGGGTACACCACTACTCATTTAAAGCGCTGCTTAAGCACCATGTTATTCTCAGTAATTGACTGCAGATATAAACCACATGTGGTTTATAGGTCATCCATTTTTACTGTCCGTATTTACTATCTGCAGTCACATCTTGGTCTTGCGTCGCTTCCTGGAGTCCTGCATAGGCAGTGACCTGCGCTACTACTTTGACGCTTCCTGCTTCCAACTTGCCATGACCCACACCGCCGTCCCCATTCAGTGCCAGAAGCACTACCTGCAAGGTCAGGGGTTAAAGGGCACCGACCTCCACTGGCAACATGTGCAAGAGATGCAGAACATCCTCGGGAGCGTTGCCATGGAGGCAGCATCAGAAGGAGGCAGCTCCGTCTGGAGGCAGAGATGAAGTGTGACAACGTGGACTTACCAAAAGAGACTTTTAAAGGCGTTCAATGGAGGGTATATTCCAGAGGCTTAGATTGCGAGATATTGCATATCTTGCGGTGGGAGCCCCTGATGTCCATTTCCCATTCTAAAATGGAAACAAAAATAGTAACTGGAACCCCAGAAAAAGCACATCCAAGTCTTTCTACAATTTTGATTCCATTCCATCTGACAAAAAAACTGCTAATCAGGAAATTTTAACTTACGAAATAAACACGCCAAGAAAATGAACAAAATCAGCTGACGCCAACAGGACCGGTTCGGCTTGGTAGGAATCAGTAATGTCGCATTTTGAGATAATTTTCCCTTAAATGTGGTTTTCACGAGCCTTACATTTAAGCTGTGACTTTTGATTGTGCACACCAATTGATAATTTATTTTTTTCCACTCTGAATGGTAGGTCATAACATTTTGGTTTGCTGGGGTTTGATGGGATTTCTGGGTGTGGGGCCGAATCACATTTTTTGTTGGATAGTTTGGGTTTGATTGGTTTTCCCTGGGTTTACTGGGTATGAGGCACAATCACAATTTTGTTGGAAGGAGGTGGTCATAAGACAAACTTTTGGGGATTTAAAAATTATGCCTTTTTCCTCTTTTCCCATTCCACATATTCTTGCCTAATGCAAAATATGTAGTATCAAATAAAAGGAATTTTCCCTTAAATAGTTAAAGCTTGAATATTTATAGCAACGTGCGCCTGTTTCCCAAACACAGAACATACTGCATAGGATGGGACAGTCCATTATTAAAACAGGGTTATATTGAGTCCAGCTTATGGTGATCACATGTTCAAATGTTGAATATTTCCTATACAGCATGGAACATGGTGAGAAATGCCTCTATTTTATCGAAGGTTATTATGCTGAATTTTTAAAATAAATTATCAGTTTAAAGTTTCTCTGTTTATGAAATTGCACTTGTGGAGGGAATTAATGTTTATTTTGCTTTGCTTTAAAGTTTGTATTATTATCATTTATGGGTGTTTTTTCCACAGTCTGTATATAGGCTTCTGATCATGTTTTGATTTATTTTCCATTAAAGCACTGTCAACCATTCATTATGCTAAAAATATGTATTTTTTTAAAGATAAAAGCACTTTTAAATGTGACCAAGCATGGACTCGGTGAACAAACAGTAGTTTGTACTTTGTGGCTACAGGACAAGAGTGTGCACTGTGAGTGTGACAATTTTTTTTTCTGAATGAGCACAAACCTGAGCCCTGTATCACAACCCTGGTAACCACAAACTTGAGCGTTTCAAAATCACCATTCTGTGCTAACAGCTCTAGCACAGAAATTATGTGCTAACCGTAAGCTCAGAATCATTGATGTATGCTTGCGCACAAGCTAACTTGTGAAATATGCTTTTTAGTACTTACCATTTAAGCTCACCAAAGGAATTTTTCGCTTCAGGTAAGCAGAGCCATAAAATTTTGGTCACCTATGCATACAAGAAGAAGATTATGTATCTGTGCATAAGTACCTCCTCAGCGGTAAAAGCTAAAGTTGGGAGGGACCACTGGGAGGAACTACTTGGAGGGACTCATAAAATGTATTTCCGACAGCACCTGATGCTCACAAAGATGCTGTGGGGTTGTGCACATTCAGAATAAAATTAATGGTGCGCAGTTTGTGCTATACACTCGCAAACCAGGGTGAGTTTGTTTCTGTATTCAATAGGGGACATTGAACAATAGAGGACAATAGGGTCCCCAATTCCTGAAGGTCCCCAATTTGGCAATCGTGTACAAAACATATGGGAGGTCTTGCTAAAAAGTTCAAGTACAAACAAAACAGGGACAATAAGGGGTCCTCAACTGCAGGCAAATATGCACTTGTGTGCACGCAGTCGTTTTTTGCTATGCTTCCGAGGATCGGCTTTGTGTTTTCCTTTGTTCCCTTATCTAAACCTTTCCCATAGACTAAGTGCACAAACCGGCATTCGAGGACAAAGGGACCTTCGATCGAGACCACAGAAGAACCCTTGTGCTCCCTTTGTGTGTGATCCTCGGTCGTAAAGCCATGTAAGAGCACATGAACCATGTCCCCCTTCCTGGCGTTTTTTGAGTATTCGGTTCGTAAGTGACTGCACCAGTGATTACTGGCCCCATTGGCTAAACACGCCACTTTGTACTACTTCAGGTTCCAATATTGCCACTTTTTACTACTTCTGGTTCCAATGGTTCCAATGCTACTCCGTGTGCAGTGGGAGTGGTTAAGTTGAAATGACGTCACACTTACAAACCGGATAGTGATGAAGCGCCACCTACTGTTCAAGCACAGAGTCCTTAAAGTTGCACATTACAACTCGAGTATCACATACTATGTGTGTTTGTATAATCCGTATATTTTCTTATACCCAGAAAGCACAAATGAGATATTTGTAGATAAGACATCTCATTTAATTTTCATATGTTGGTTTCAATTCGATGAGCAGACGTAGGGTCTGAAAGTCGGTCTAGCATTAGCAATCATGCAGAGTTTATTTGCCATTTTTGTATCCAATGCAAGACATCGAGGTATTTTTATTTTGTTTTGGTAAACTTTTATGCACTTGAAATTTGTTTTTGTTCGGGTTAAGACATGCGGAATTGTACATGCAAAATTTTTGAAGTATGAATCCTATCATGACAATAAAAGAAATTGAAGAAATAAACAATAAGTTGAGAGAATCAAGTACATCTGGTGTCATGTTTTGTTTATAGCAAAATAAAGGACATGAGAAAACACGTATTGGCTAGAACCTGAAGTCAACATGAATTGAACAAAAACGCAAAGTCGTTGTCCAGACAATAGATCAAGATATACCTGATGTATTGAATTGAGTTTTAGTCTAATGATTGGACGTGAAGTCTGAAACAAACCTAATGAATTTCAAAAGGAAATGTCAACCAATAAATTTAATGCAGGCTAATACAGTAGAGTGTAAATGGTACGAAAAATACAATCAGAATTAAAGTCAACTTTGAAGCTCTCCTCGGGTTTCGCTCGTACCCCCCGCCCTGCAAACAGGACGCTGGGATACTCTGATGAATTCACGCTCTGATTGGTTGGATTTTGAGTGACCAGTGACCTGCGCGTCATCAAGGTCATGACTCTGCAAGGTTTAAAACGGCAGTTAAGACTGATTCATTACTCTTTTATTCCAGTTTAGAGATGTTTTTATTCTCGTTGAAAGACGTAATAATGTAGGAAATTCTGTAAAACTTATCTGTGTTGTAAATTTGTACTTCCCGTCACTTGCTCAGGCTCCGTTTCGAATCACGAACGGTCGGATTGCATCATGTGACGCTCAAAATTTTGTCCACATGGTCCGCAATGAAACAGAAATCACATCCGGTATGGAATGTGCGCATTTTTATGGGAAGTTTTCGGATAGTGTTTGTGCACATTGTCTAACTGCGGTCTTGAACAGCTGCAGCCAGATGCTTTATACATAGGTCATAGGCCACTTCCTTCATAAGATTCTGTGAAGCTCATCAGAGTATCCCAGCGTCCTGTTTGCAGGACGGGGGTATGAGCGAATCCTCGGGTCGACCTGCTATTTGCTTGTGCTTGGGTCATGCTTGGGTCACCCTTCGAGAATACATGATAGGCACAATATTATTATTATATTAATCAGTGTCATTTTGACTTGGTTGTTCCATTGACTGATCTTCAGACACGTGTGCCCGCAAGATGGCGCTCTTCAAATGTATTATCTGAATCAAAAGAACAGAAAAATCAAAAGCATTGATTTTGTATCATACCTTGTGAAAATAGACCACAATTTGAATATGTTAACTCATTGGCAAAGTAAACATGGAATAATTAGGCGGCATCTTTTGATATGACAATTCTTCCAAATTTAAGTAGGCCTATCTCAAGATATTCTGTATTCATTGGTAATAATTTCGGAAGTTGTGCCTTAAGGTCTGTCATGATGTTGACCTCAGTCGCGAAATACATCATGTGCAGCCTGGAACGGTCTCATTGTGTCTTACGCTGACAGAGGATCGTGATCTTGACCTTGATCTTCATCATGACATCAGTCGACGTCACTGCTGTCGCCTACGTCATACGTCATTAATATAAAATGTCATTAATACATGCCCAGGTTTTCAAATATGGCAGAAGTACATGTTGGTCTACATGCTTACACCATTAAACACATGCATACGATTAATAAACATATGCCTACCTAATTAATAAGCATATCCATGCCTAATTAATAAGCATATCCATATCTAATCTAATTACATTATCACTGTATTCCTACGTCATTCATCAATTTTAAGCCTACAACTTCATGATCTTGACCTTGTGGGATTCTCATCTTAGGTCGCATTCAGGATACTCAGATCTCTGACCCTTGACCTTAGATTTCTGATCCCTGATCTTAATTATGATACTTATAGTTAAACAGTCGTCGTCATCTGTTCTGTCTCATTATAACATTATACTTCTCTTCTGAGATGGGTTAACTGCCTCATGCATGTCATGGCATGGGTTTTGTGTAAAACATCTGCCTCAAAGAACTTGATCTAGGCCTACGAGTTTTACCAAAATGCTCTTGTTTGTGAATTGCAGTTCATCCTTATTCTTTAAAAATTCTTGATGAACGGTGTTGTTTTTTTAATTAATTCACTCAGCCACCTCCCCTTTTGAATGTCTCATGGCTACAATGGAAATCTCCATTTATCTGTCTCTACACTCTATACTGAAAAAGCAACAGTAACTTGCCCGTACCCTGTAATGTAATGTCCTGGTATTGTGGAGGTTAATCATGAATAGACTGGGCCTGCGTTCTGCTTCTTCTGCTATTATGGCGGACTCGTGAAATTCGGTCTCCTAGAATTTCAAAGGTAAGTCTATGTAGAGAAAATTAATACTCGGAGGTAGAAGTCTTTACGAGAGAACTCAACAAGTCAAGCAACAGTCTGGTGCAAAGAACCAAGTGTGTCATTAATGATTGTGCTTCTCAAGTTACCGTGCGCTGCATTTCGCCTCCAATATTGCCGTGAATTACGGAGCAATACGAAGCTATGACGACAGCTTAAAATGTCTCCTGGATTACCTAGAAACATTAATATCGTCGCTTTTCTCATGCGAGTCAATTTCGGAAATAGTTTATCGCTGAAAAAGAAAGGAATACTGAAACAAAAAAGTACTTACGAGGCGTAAATGCACGGCTTCCATCTTGAAATGCAAGCAGAGTGGGCGAAAGTCAGACGACAGCTACGAGTACGAGGCGTAATGCGGTTAAAAAATCCCCATCACTTTTTTATCTCTCCGCACATAAACAAAATACACATTTTTCATTTTATTTTTTAATTTCTTACATGTCTGCACATTCATGTTTTTTTTTCTTCTTTTTTTATTAAAATGACAACGATAGAGCGCTTCATTCTAAAAATGAACTTCCATAAACCTTTTTTTTAATCAGGAAAAGAGGGTCCTATTTTTCGTCGCCCGCGGACTAACACAAACTGTCGATGTTCGATGAACAAGTGAATGAGGGGTTCTGATTGGTCGAAAGTCAACAGAAATTTCTGGGATTGGCCAAGACACACAATTTGCATATGGCATGTGGCATACACTTATTTGGAAAATTACTTATATCAGATGACAAAAAGTTATTTGCATATTTTATTTTTATTGAGATGGCAAAACATGATTGCGTAAATGATTGCGTAATGTTCAATGTTGCCTGAGGGGCGGATCCAGGAATTTTTGCAGGGGGGGGGGTGTTGAAATGTAGACAGGTTTTTTTGTCCGTACATTTGACCGTAAAATCAATAGGTGTGTGTGTGAGGGGGGGGGGGGTGCTCGTACCATACTTTAAATGGGGGCGCTGTTCAAATCCGACGATTATTAACACTATTACATAATAGTGTACAAATACCCCCGTAACCCAGCTGGCTCTGTCCGTATTTTGTGCACAGGCGTATATTATTACCAGTATAAATATTTTTGGATGTCAGAGTGAGGGGGGGGGGGGGGCCGCCGGGGTTCGCGTTATTTTTACTGAATTTCCATGAAAAAAAAAATGATAGAGCTGGGGGGGGGGGTTGACCGTCCTCCAAGAGTGATTATGAAAACTCAACTACCTGCCCAACAAATAAAATAATTTGAAGTCATTCTTAATGATACTTGAATGGTGAATAACAAAGTACCAA